TCCCTTCCTTATTGGATAGACACACATTTCAGCACTTTCTCCTCCTCTCTCATTATCATTGTTCCATATCTGGACAGATTTACTCGACAGTTTCCAACTTCAGATGAAATTCTTTCCGAGTATCCACTTTGCTTCCAGAGTAACATCAAGTGAGTCAAGGAATGTGGGACATTTAGTTTTCTGGAATGTGAAGGATCATTTTCCAAAGGGAGCTCAGGTATCGTGTTGGAAGACCTTTCTTGTCACCAGCCAGAATCTATGTGGGTCCACCAAATGGTTTTTTTTTTGTTGGAAAGATTACTGTCCATGAAGACTTAGAAAACTTGTGGGTTGTGCAGAATGGCAGCTCCCAGTCTCCAAAGTGTCTTCCAGTACTGCACCAGCCTATCCTGGACTTAGAAGTTATCCAGAGCCTCAGTCTGGCCTAGGAAGCCATTCTTGCACCTCCATGTTTACCTATGGTGGTTCCAGGGCTCTAGATCAGATATAGGAGCTTTTGTGGACGTTCCCATGGGCAGAGACACCATCTCCCTTCTTTCCCAGAAGGTGAGAGTGGTTGTGGGGCCCCGATTTGACTAAAAGAATTTTGTGGCAGTTCTTTTGGTCCAAGAACAACTTTCTGGGGCTTCTACGCTGGCACAAGCAGCCGGTGGGCTGTAGAGGGGATATTAAATTTTATCAGAAGTGTGCCAAGGATGCCCTTCCAGAGGCTTCCATGGTATCAAGGGTTGATCCCGCTTCTGGAGGCTGACTTGGAATATTTCAGGATGCTCCTCAGGAAAATAAATCCTATGTGGTATAGCAGGAATTGCTTTCCTGGGGAGAAACTCTGTTGAAGCTTGTATATTAACAACTACAAAAATCATTCGCAGGAAGAAAAGTAATAATGAAAGTAATGATGAATGACAATAACAATCATGATAATGATCGTAACCAGGGGATTATATTATTATGTTAATGATAATCATGAGCCTAAGGAGAGGGGAGATCAGAAGGTAGCTTTCCCTGAGTGACATGGTAATGATAGCAGTTCTCATGGGGTAGTTGGAGTCAGCGCTCTAGATTTAACAATGAAATATGTGCCACAATAGAGAGCCAAGCCAGGGGAGCGCTTGAGTCATCCTGTGTCAACCATGGAAGAACAGTCTTATGGGCAAATGTAGAGGGGCCTTGGTACAGAACCCTGAAAAACCACCTTTCAGGATCGAGGAGAGCTGGATGGTAGGGTGTGCCTCCATGCCAGGAACGCAGGGGCTTAGTCCACACCCATCTGGTGGAAGTACCACCAGGACAGAGATTAATCTGTCAGGGTTCTGTCAACCCTTGTATTCTAGCTGCTATCCCTGATATCTGTCCTTGCCAGACCCATAGATCTCAGACATCTAGATTTTCCTGTCTGGACCAGTTATTGTAGGGCATCATTCTTATTACTCTGTGATCTGCAGGGGTGACACGGGATGGTAGGAGCCATGAGCAGGCATCCTGGAGGACTTGAACTATCAGCAGGTGCGGGGGTTTACTCAGCTGCCAAGAGCCACCTGCCTCAAGTCCCCCAGCCCCCAGAGTGACTGACCAGCGGTGAATGATGGAGGTGGGGAATACCTAGGTCTGGCCACTTTGTTTTAGTTGAGGCCAAGTATGAGGGCCCTGCTAGTTCTACAGCAACCTGTGCGGTGGGGCTGATGCTGTAAGGCTAGACTTCTCTCTCCTCAGCCTTTCCAGAGATGTTCCTCTCGAGATCACTGCCTAGTAAACACCCAGCACATTGAACTCTGTCCTGTCTGTTCTCTGAGAACCTAACCTGTGGCAACAGTAAAACGATTCCAGGGAAGATAGGGCTTACACACAGAAGGGATCCAAGTGTGCTGAAGTTGGAAATAACATAAATATCAACAATAGCCAAATTATGGAAAGAGCCCAAATGTCCATCGACTGACAAATGGATACAGAAGACGTGTATATATACAATGGAAAACTACTCGGTGATGGAAAAGAATGGAATCTTGCCATTTGCAACAATGCGGATAGAACCAGAGTGCATTATGCTAAGTGAAATAAGTCATTTAGAGAAAGATAAGTATCCTATTATTTCACTTATATGTGGAATTTAAGAAACACAACAGATGAACATAGAGGAAGGGAAGGAAAAATAAGAAAAACAGAGGGAGGGAAACCCTAAGAGGCTTTCAAATACAGAGAACTGAGAGTTGCTGTTGTGGAGGTGGGTGGGGGTTGGGCTAAATGGGTGATGGGCCGTAAGGAGTGCACTTGTTGGGATGAGCACTGGATGTTGTATGTAAGTGATGAAGCACTAAATTCTACTCCTGAAATCATTATTACAATATATGTTAACTAACGTGGATTTAAATAAAATTCAAAAATTAAAAAAAAAGAAAGGAAAATAACATAAAGACTGATGATATGCCTTGACATCCTTTTTGTTGATTAGAACGTTTGAATTGTCAGCAAGAAAGATGTCCATAAATTGATGGGGACAGAAAATCAGATTGGTGTGGGATAAGGAGAAAAGTCAGTTAGTGGATGCTTCCTCACCTTGGATTACAAGATGAGAGAGAGAAGCAGTTGGAAGTAAATGGAATCGGAAGTTTATTTTTGTTGTTGTTTGTTTTCTTCTTTAAATTTTTTAATGTTTATTTATTTTTTGAGAGAGGGAGGGAGAAAGAGAGAGAGAGCATGCAAGCAGGGAAGGGCAGAGAGAGAGGGAGACAGGATCTGAAGCAGGCTCCAGGCTCTGAGCTGTTAGCACAGAGCCTGATGAGGGGCTCAAACCCACAAACTGCGAGATCATGACCAGAGCCGAAGTTGGACACTTAACTGACTGGGCCACCCAGGAGCCCTTGTTGTTCTTGTTCTTCTTTTTTTTTTTTTTTTTTTTTTTTTTGTTTTGTCCAATTGAAATTTCAGGCTGAATGATGCCACAAGTTGTTGAATTGCTCAGAGAATGGATGGAATTGAGAAGGAGTACTTTCAAATAAAGTGTATACGCTTTAAATTATAGCGCAAAATTCATGACACAGCAGGAAAGAATAGGTACCAAACACAAGTGCAGGAATAAATTACCTGAGATTAAAAGTCATTCCTCTGCTGTTCTGAGGGAGGGGAGCGAAAGTGTAGGACAATGTTAAATCTAGTGGTTAAATTACCTGTTTCATTTGTGAGCTCGTTTATACACCATCTGAAGAATGTGAAAGGGTCAATGGAGACTGCATGGTAATGCCAGAGGTGGGACATGCTCTTCGGTGAGCATGGAAGAAGGAACTGGAGCGTGTGGCTTTCCAGGACTGCTGGGCATTTTTGGAGAAAGAGACAAAATGTCCTTAGATGCAATGGAATACTTACTGTATCCTCCGGTTTGATTATTTCCTCTTGGAAATTTAGGGAGTTCTAAGCCAGAAGAGCTTATCTCTACAACTGTAAGCATTCCACTCAAATGTGTAAATCAACTGTGAATGACATGGAAACAAAATTATTTACTCTATTCCATTATGTAGTAACACTCTTGTTTATTTCCCCACTAACCAAGAAACAATGTCTAAAATTGTGTTCCCCATTTTCTTTGGATAATTAATAAATTGTTAATATGCTCTTGAAAGTATGTGGCCAGCGGCCAGCAGTCAAGGAATCATTTTTAAAAATTTTGTTTTTCAGTCCATATTCCCCCCCAGTTTCGTGTCTGTAGTATCCCACTGTGTCTGATGCTGTGCTTCATTTCCAAGACATACCGTGTTTCTCGGTACACAGAATGCACTCCAAAGTACTTAGGAATGAGTCAAGGAATGAATGGATGCTCTAATAGCACCATTTCAAGGTGTCCTTATGTCTCGTCTCTCTGACTTAGTGTGAGGGCTGCAATTTTGTATGAGTGTGGAGAATCCAATCAAATCGAACAGGGTGTGTCCCACAGGCTGCAGCTGTTTAGGATCTAGTCAGTCAGGGTGTGACCCTGGAATGTTGCCCTTGAATAGGTTTACTAAGGGTTTTTCCCAGTATAAAAGGGAAGTCAACCAGGTATTTGTCTTGAGAAGAAACGGAGAAGTCTGGGACACTGGAAGAAGAGAACAAGAGGAATCGGCTGCTTGCCTGTGGAACTCACCACACAATCTGCTTGGCTTCACCCTCTCTCCTCCAACTCTGGGTTCTGGTGAGTTCTCCACATAGTGACATGGGAGCTGGCCTCATCCCCTTAAAATTCTGTAGATACTATCTCTCTTTAGACATCTGTCTAAGATCATTTTTTTAAAAATGTTTATTTATTTATTTATTTTGGGGTGGGGGGGTTGTGCAGAGAGAGAGGGAGAGAGATAATCCCAAACAGGCTCCTCACTCAGTGTAGAGCCTGACATGGGGCTCGATTCCATGAAATGCAAGATCATGACCTGCGCCAAAATCAAGAGTCAGACAGTCAAACGACTGAGCCACCCAGGCACCCCTATACATCTGTCTAATCAAAGCAGCTTCTGATGATCTTTATATTTCATTGTGTCAACATTTAGGCCACCATTCTCACTCCCTGTTTCTGACTATTTATGTCCCCTTCCCATATTGATCTTGAATCTACTTAATTATTTTAACCACCTACCCTAAGATCCTAGATCTTTGTTTTCCAACAAAACAACTACCAGCCACGTGTGACTATAAGCTGTAAAATCGTAAAATTAGGGCCACCTGGGTGGCTCAGCCAGTTAAGCATCCGACTTCAGGTCATGATCTCATGGCTCGTGAGTTCGAGCGAGCCTCTTCGGATTCTGTGTCTCCCTCTCTTTCTGCCTCTTCTCCCCTCGCACTCTGTCTCTCTCTCTCTCAAAATGAACAAACAAACAAACAAATATTTAAAAAAATAAAGTCATAAAATTAAATAACTGACCTTCAGATCTCAGCAGCACTGGCAAGATTTCAAGTATCCTATAACCACTTGGTCTGGCAGTTACTGTATTGTACAATGCAGATATGGGGCATTTACTTTACCTTAGGAAGTTCTATTGGCACAGTGATCTACATCTTATGTTTCTATAATTTTTCATTGTAAATACTTCATTTTCTGCTTTTCTGAATTAATTTCTTTCTATGGATTTCATCAAGTAATAAATAGACTTCAATTAGCATGGTTACTGTGGAGACTAAATAGGCAAATATATGTAAATCTGAAAGGGCACAATCACGTTTTATACAAATTTGACTTTCTTTTTTTTCCCCCGAACCTCAGGTGCAAATGGGTGAGTTAATGATCCCTTTGTTCATGAAGCTTTTGCATTATTTCTCCACGAAATACATTCAGTTATTCTTGATGTCAGGGGAAAATTGGTTTATAAAAGTCCATGAATTGATTAACACCATTGTAATCTTAGTTGCTTGATATCCAAGTCTAGGGGGGGACCAGAGAGCCGGAGGGGACTGAGGCTTCAGAGGGCTGCCATGGATACTGGAGAACCATTGCTAGGGCATACAGCAAGAAAAACGAGATCTGAGAAATTCCGCAGTGTTCGTCTACAGGTGGAAAACAAACCCTATGTGTGTCATGAGTCTGGAAGCACTCTGCTCTGGAATCAGGGAGGGAACTCAAGAATTCTGAATGCCATAGGCTACTGAATGCACACAACACAATGTTTATCATGTTCTGATTTGTAAGAGATCTGTATTTTGACCTTTATTTTCAATCACAGCTATAATCTGACATTTGACCCTGGGATAGGAGTGACCTCTTACACCCTGTTCTTAGAGTGCACCACTTGTGGTTTCTTGGGCTAGGGGGTCACACCCAGGTGAAGGTCTGGGGCTTCCTGACAGGTGAGTCTGGAAGTTGTGTGCGCAGTACTGGATCTCATGACTTCTTTCTCCATCCTCAGCTTTGCCTGCTTAGTGCTTGTACTGTCTGTGAGTGAGAACCCAGAGAAAGATACCTGGCAACTGACTTGTCGACAATGCAGGCACCGGTGAGTCGGGACTGCATCTTTTGCTGAAATTACACCCTAGTGCCATATGATGGGCAGTGTTTCCTATTGGCATGCATGTTGCAAGCGGAATCGGGTGATGTTGAGGCATCTGTGCTCTAATTTCCCCAGCATTCTGGGATAGTTGTTATCCATCAGGAACTTATCGATAATGAATTCCCTTCTTAACATTATGCAAATTTATGAGATCTTCCATTAAGCTTGTGTATTTACAGAAGAGATAAGAGAAGTCTTCCTTCTCTCATCCAGCCCATGGCCCCAGTGACAAATAATTCACTCATTAACCATATTTTTGGATGGAATAGGCTTAGGATGGTGGTGATTGAAAGTGCTAGAGAAGAGTGAGAAGAATATAGTCCTATAAGGAGGTGGGTGTTTCAGCATGTGACTATAATTAATCCGGTGTTACAAGACCTGGTGTGAGCCTTGTTCAGTGTTGAGAGGAACAGGAGAGAGGTTTAGAAAGACTGAAGAATCAGTTTATGTTTTTTTTTTCCCTCCATCTTATTGCATTGTATTCTATTGTACTTTCTCATACAATTATTAGAATTTACACTTCTGAAAATTTTTTAAAAATATAACTAAACCACCACTATCATGCTTGTCCCTAATCACACATTTTTACCTCTTAGTAATCAACCTTTCATCCATATTTGACAACTGGAAAGAATTTGGAGGGAGGAGTATTTTCTTAATTGCACTACACACACCGAAAGGAGAGAGAGTATGGTAGGTAGAATAAAATTAGGTTCCTGAATAAATTTCTGAAAAAGTTGTTTGGATAGACCCAAACAAGTCATGAGGTTTCTGTTATCCTTTAGCATGGAGACAAGTAAAGATACAAGAGAAACAGTGATAACTGGTGTCTGAGGTCCCAGAGAAGATTGGGATTGGGAGTCCTCGTGGCATAGGACTGGTCAGGGCAAGACTGTCCTCAGCACAGCCATTTCAGAGGACCCTGGCTCGTGCTGCTTGTGTTAGGAACACCTCAGTTCTGTAGCATGAAGAGAGCCATCTATGAATCTTGTTCAGTTCTGAGGAATGCTGACGATTCCTTCAAGCTTTTCTGACATTTTAGTGATCAATAATGTCTTATATTTAGTGCAGGGTTGCTAGACAGGAAACGCTCCCTACATATATGCCTTGGATCCTTCAACATTCATAACATGTGAATAAACCACTTTGTAGATGGGGGACAAGAAGTTCATATAGAGACTAAGTTAAGCCAATGATTATGGTTTAAAAGCAGCACACCATAGCTATTATTTGTCTTTTGATGAATCTGTAGAGTTACTTGAAATTAATAGAGATGAGGGTTTTACTTATGAATTTTTATGTTTATTTTTTGAGAGAGAGAGAGAGAGAGAGAGAACAAGTTGGGGAGACGCAGAGAGAGAGAGAGAGAGAGAGAGAGAGAGAGAGAGAGAGAGAGAGAATCCCAAGAATTGCAGAGCCTGATGTGGGGCTTGATCTCATGACTGTGAGATAATGACCTGAGCTGAAATCAAGAACTGGTCACTTAACTGACTGAGACACCCAGGTGCCCCTCAGGCAAATATTTTATAATCACCTGTCAAAAAGTTCTAATCACCAGGTTATTGAGACACGTCCAGGTTATATGACACCACACTTCATGCGATTTTCTTTAATAAAGTATTATGAAGTCAGAGTGTGTAGATCTCTGTAAACATATCCAAAAGCTCTGCACTGACAGTGAACTGATGGGACCCCCCAAAATATATATTGATCTTTCTACACACCCAGCTCCTCTACCTCCTTCCTCAGTGCTGTCATCTCAACCCTCCTACTCTGGACATAGGTAGGGAGTGCTCTGTCTAAGCCAGAATATCCATGATGTTTCAGGAATCAGTGACATTTGAAGATATAGCTGTAGACTTCACCAAGGAAGAGTGGGCCCTGCTGGACGCATCCCAGCGAAAGCTGTTCAGAGATGTGATGCTGGAAAGTATCAATCATCTGATCTTTCTGGGTGAGTCTGCCAACACATATGTTTGCGTCCATCCATTCACTCATTGAGTAAATATCTAGAACAGCTCCCCATATCCCACTCCAAATGCTGCCCTGATTCTTTCATAACTATGTGAAAGGAAGATGTTTCTTCACCTTGTACTTTTTGGCATCACACTAGATTGCAATCTTGACCACAAGTTCATATCTTTCTTGGTACTCAGTCTCCAGCATTCAAAATGGAACTGGAAATTCACTGGATATTTTAATTCATAATTGATTAAACATTTGAAAAATAATGACTGTTTAGTCATGATGTGGAATAATGAGACCAGAGTTGTGAAAATAACATAATTTTGATTATTCTTGTGGCTCTTATATTTATTGGATGTGTTTGAAAATAATTTTTAACCCACTGTGGAGATATTGATTCTCTCCCATTTGGAGAAGACTGAGGATTCTGCATTCATTCTCTGAACTTGTGGGCGGGTATCAGCATCTAGCATGTTCATTGTTTTTGCCTCTAGTCTGGATTTCCTCCTGATCTGATGAAGGACCTTCAGTGTGGTTTCTGTTGAAGGTGTCATTACAGCTGACCTTCCATCATCTCTTTGTTCGTCCTTGGTAGATCCTGCCCTGGACTTGGTTATAGCAAAGATTAATTTGCACAGAACTCAAAATGCATATACTTCCCCTTCCTCCCCCCACCCCCCAACAGAGAATAATAGCTGCAAAAGATCCTTCCGGTTGGAGCAGGAAGGAGAGCTGCAGAGTGAAGGAACTGGGTTTCTCCAAGAGCACAGTCCAGGTGAGCAGCAGGGACCTGTGGGTCAGGAGGAGCAGGTGCCTACTGTGAGTGTGTCCTTTAGAAATACTCACTGAAGATTCTGTCAAGTGAGTGATACTTTCTAAAACAAAAGTGAGGACATTGGGGCAAAATTCCTCATGTGGCTACAATCCTTGCCTAAATCAATCACAATGCATGTGTCCTCTTCCCCCTGTCTTTCCCTTTAGGGAAAAGGATATTCATGCAATTACTGCAGTGAAACATTGGTGTAGTGGTCCTGATCCTCCTATTTAAAGATTTTTGCAACCATTTGCTGACCCAACATCTTTCCACCACTTTACATCTTTCGCATAATCAATCCTCATTTTTTCTTTCTTTTTTTTATTAATATGAAATTTCTTGTCAGATTGGTTTCCATACAACATCCAGTGCTCATCCCAAAAGGTGCCCTCCTCAATGGCCATCACCCACCCTCCCCTCCCTCCCACCCCATATCAATCCTCAGTTTGTTCTCAGTTTTTAAGAGTCTTTTATGGTTTGGCTCCCTCCCTCTCTAACTTTTTTTCCTTCCCCTCCCCCATGGTCTTCTCTTAAGTTTCTCAGGATTCACATAGGAGTGAAAACATATGGTATCTGTCTTTCTCTGTATGACTTATTTCACTTAGCATAACATTCTCCAGTTCCATCCACGTTGCTACAAAAGGCCGTATTTCATTCTTTCTCATTGTCACGTAGTATTCCATTGTGTATATAAACCACAATTTCTTTATCCATTCATCAGCTGATGGACATTTAGTCTCTTTCCATAATTTGGCTATTGTTGAGAGTGCTGCTATACACATTGGGGTACAAGTGCCCCTATGCATCAGTATTCCTGTATCCCTTGGGTAAATTCCTAGCAGTGCTATTGCTGGGTCATAAGGTAGATCTATTTTTTAATTTTTTGAGGAACCTCCACACTGCTTTCCAGAGTGGCTGCACGAGTTTGCATTCCCACCAACAGTGCAAGAGGCTTCCCGTTTCTCCACATCCTCACCAGCATCTATAGTCTCCCGATTTGTTCATTTTAGCCACTCTGACTGGCGTGAGGTGGTATCTGAGTATGGTTTTGATTTGTATTTCCCTGACGAGGAGCGACTTTGAGCATCTTTTCATGTGCCTGTTGGCCATCTGGATGTCTTCTTTAGAGAAGTATCTATTCATGTTTTCTGCCCATTTCTTCACTGGATTATTTGCTTTTTGGGTGTGGAGTTTGGTGAGTTCCTTATAGATTTTGGATACTAGTCCTTTGTCTGATATGTCATTTGTAAATATCTTTTCCCATTCTGTGGATTGCCTTTAAGTTTTGTTGATTGTTTCCTTTGCAGTGCAGAAGATTTTTATCTTCATGAGGTCCCAATAGTTCATTTTTGCTTTTAATTCTCTTGACTTTGAAGATGTGCCAAGTAAGAAATTGCTACAGCTGAGGTCAGAGATGTTTTTTCCTGCTTTCTCCTCTAGGGTTTTGATGGTTTCCTGACTCACATTCAGGTCCTTTATCCATTTTGAGTTTATTTTTGTGAATGGTGTCAGAAAGTGGTCTAGTTTCATCCTTCTGCATGTTGCTGTGTAGTTCTCCCAGCACCATTTTTTAAAGAGACTGTCTTTTTCCATTGGATATTCTTTCCTGCTTTGTCAAAGATTAGTTGGCCATATGTTTGTGGGTCCAATTCTGGAGTTTCTATTCTGTTCCATTGGTCTATGTGTCTGTTTTTGTGCCAATACCATGCTATCTTGATGACTACAGCTTTGTAATAGAGGCTCAAGTCTGGGATTGTGATGCCTCCTGCTTTGGTCTTCTTCCTCAATATTACTTTGGCTATTTGGGGTCTTTAGTGGTTCCATACAAATTTTAGAATTGCTTGTTCTAGCTTCGAGAAGAATGCTGGTGCAATTTTTATTGGGATTGCATTGAATGTGTAGATAGCTTTGGGTAGTATTGACATTTTGACAATATTTATTCTTCCAATCCATGAGCATGGAATGTTTTTCCATTTCTTTATATCTTCTTCAATTTCCTTCATAAGCTTTCTATAGTTTTCAGCATACAGATCTTTTACATCTTTGGTTAGATTTATTCCTAGGTATTTTATGCTTCTTGGTGCAATTGTGAGTGGGACCAGTTTCTTTTTCTGTTGCTTCATTATTAGTATATAAGAATGCAACCGATTTCTGTACATTGATTTTGTATCCTGCAACTTCGCTGAATTCACGTATCAGTTCTAGCAGACTTTTGGTGGAGTCTATCCAATTTTCCATGTATAATATCATGTCATCTGCAAAAAGTGAAAGCTTGACTTCATCTTTGTCAATTTTGATGCCTTTGGTTTCCTTTTGTTGTCTGATTGCTGATGCTAGCACTTCCAACACTATGTTAAACAACAGTGGTGAGAGTGGACATCCCTGTCGTGTTCCTGATCTCAGGGAAAAAGCTCTCAATTTTTCCCCATTGAGGATGATATTAGCTGTGGGCTTTTAACAAATGGATTTTATGATGTTTAAGTATGTTCCTTCTATCCTGACTTTATTGAGGGTTTTTATTAAGAAAGGATGCTGAATTTTGTCAAATGCTTTCTCTGCATCAATTGACAGGATCATATGGTTCTTTTCTTTTATTAATGTGATGTATCACATTGATTGATTTGCAAATGTTGAACCAGCCCTGCATCCCAGGAATGAATCCCACTTGATCATGGTGAATAATTCTTTTTATATGCTGTTGAATTCGATTTGCTAGTATCTTATTGAGAATTTTTGCATCCATATTCATCAGGGATATTGACCTGTAGTTCTCTTTTTTTGCTGAGTCTCTGTGTGGTTTGGGAATGAAAGTAATGCTAGCTTCATAGAATGAGTCTGGAAGTTTTCCTTCCCTTTCTGGTTTTTGGAACAGCTTGAGAAGGATAGGTATTATCTCTGCTTTAAATGTCTGGTAGAATTCCCCAGGGAAGCCATCTGGTCCTGGACTCTTATATGTTGGGAGATTTTTGATAACTGATTCAATTCCTTCACTGGTTATGGGTCTGTTCAAGTTTTCTATTTTTTCCTGTTTGAGTTTTGAAAGTGTGTGAGTGCTTACGAATTTGTCCATTTCTTCCAGGTTGTCCAGTTTGTTGGCATATATTTTTTATAGTATCCCCTGATAATTGCTTGTATTTCTGAGGGATTGGTTGTAATAACTCCATGTTCACTCATGATTTATCTATTTGGGTCATCTCACTTTTCTTTTTGAGAAGCCTGGCTAGAGGTTTATCAACTTTGTTTATTTTTTCAAAAAACCAACTCTTGGTTTCATTGATATGCTCTACAGTTTTTTTAGATTCTATATTGTTTATTTCTGCTCTGATCTTTATTATTTCTCTTCTTCTGCTGGATTTGGGGTGTCTTTGCTGTTCTGCTTCTAGTTCCTTTAGGTGTGCTGTTAGACTTTGTATTTGGGATTTTTCCTGTTCCTTGAGGTAGGCCTGTATTGCAATGTATTTTCCTCTCAGGACTGCCTTCGCTGCATCCCAAAGCGTTTGGATTGTTGCATTTTCATTTTCACTTGTTTCAATATATTTTTTAATTTCTTCTCTAATTGCCTGGTTGACCCATTCATTCTTTAGTAGGGTGTTCTTTAACCTCCATGCTTTTGGAGGTTTTCCAGACTTTTTCCTGTGGTTGATTTCAAGTTTCATAGCATTGTGGTCTGAAAGTGTGCATGGTATGATCTCAATTCTTTTATAATTATGAAGGGCTGTTTTGTGACCCAGTATGTGATCTATCTTGGAGAATGTTCCATGTGCACTTGAGCAGAAAGTATATTCTGTTGCTTTGGGATGCAGAGTTCTAAATATATCAGTCAAGTCCATCTGATCCAGTGTATCATTCAGGGCCCTTGTTTCTTTATTGATCCTGTGTCTAGATGATATATCCATTGTTATAAGTGGAGTATTAAAGTCCCCTGCAATTACCACATTCTTATCTTATGATTGTTTTATATATTTGGGGGCTCCCGTATTCGGCACATAGACATTTATGATTGTTATCTCTTCCTGATGGATAATCCCCATAATTATTATATAAAGCCCTTCTTCATCTCTTATTATAGCCTTTAATTTAAAGTCTAGTTTGTCTGATATAAGTATGGCTACTCCTGCTTTCTTTTGATTTCCAGTAGCATGATAGATGGTTCTCCATCCCCTCACTTTCCATCTGAAGGTGTCCTCAGGTCTAAAATGAGTCTCTTATAGACAGCAAATAGATGGGTCTTGTTTTTTTTATCCATTCTGATACCCTATGTCTTTTGGTTGGCACATTTATTCCATTTACATTCAGTGTTATTATTGAAAGATATGGGTTTAGAGTCATTGTGATGTCTATAGGTTTCATGCTTGTAGTGATGTCTCTGGTAGTTTGTGGTCCTTGCAATATTTCACTCACAGAATCCCCCTTAGGATCTCTTCTAGGGCTGGTTTAGTGATGAATTCCATCAGTTTTTGTTTGGGAAGACCTTTATCTCTCCTTCTGTTCTGAATGACAGACTTGCTGGATAAAGGATTCTTGGCTGCTTTTTTTTCCTATGCATCACATTGAAGATTTCCTGCCACTCCTGGCCTGCCAAGTTTCAGTAGATAGGTCTTCCACTAGTCTTATGGGTCTCCCTTTGTAGGTTAGAGCTTGTTTATCCCTAGCTGCTTTCAGAATTGTCTCTTTATCCTTGTATTTTTCCAGTTTCACTATGATATGTTGTGCAGAAGATCTATTCAAGTTTCGTCTGAAGGGAGTTCTCTGTGCCTCTTGGATTTCAATGCCTTTTTCCTTCCCCAGATCAGGGAAGTTCTCAGCTATGGTTTGTTCAAGTACACCTTCAGCCCCTTTCTCTCTCTCTTCCTCCTCTGGAGTTCCTATTATACAGATATTGTTCCATTTGATTGCATCACTTAGTTCTCTAATTCTCCCCTTACTCCTGAATTTTTTTATCTCTCTTTTCTCAACTTCCT